AGGAGGAGGAAGAAGAGGAGGAGGAGGGAGAGACCTCGATTAGGAAGGAGGAGAGGAGGAGGAGGATAATGAGGAGGAGAAGAAGGCGGAGGAGGAGGAGGAGGGGGGGAGGAGGAGGAGGAGGAGAGGGAGGAGGAGGAGGAGGAGAGGAGGAGGAGAGGAGGAGGAGGAGGAGGAGGAGGAGGAGGAGGAGGAGGAGGAGGAGGAGAGGAGGAGGAGGAGGATGAGGAGGAGGAGGGAGGTAGGAGGAGGAGGGGAGGAGGAGGAAGGAGGAGGCGGGGAGGAGGAGGAGGAGGGGAGGGGGAGGGGGAGGCCGAGGCGGGGATAGGATGAGGGGGGGGAGGAAGAGGAGGAGGGAGGCGGATGAGGAGGACGGAGGAGGAGGAGAGAGGAGGGAGTGGAGGAGGAGGAGGAGGAGGGGGATGGGGAGGGCGAGGAGGAGGAGGAGGCGAGGAGAGGAGGAGGAGGAGAGGAAGAGAAGAAGGAGGAGGGAGGAGGATGGGGAATGGGGAGGAGGAGGAGGAGGAGGAGGAGGAGGAGGAGAGAGGCGGAGGGGGAGGAGAAGTAGGAGGAGGAGGAGGAGGAGGAGGCGGAGGATGAGGATGAGGAGGAGGAGGAGAGGAGGCGGAGGAGGAGGGAGGAGGAGGAGGAGGAGAGGAAGAGGCGGAGGAGGAGGAGGACGGCGGAGGAGGGGAGAGGAGGAGGAGGAGAGGAGGAGAGTCGGAGGAGGGGAGGAGCGGAGGAAGAGGATGAGGGGGGGGGGGGGAGGAGGAGTTGGAGGAGGAGGATGAGGAGGAGGAGTAGTAGGTGGAATTGGAGGAAGAGGAAGAAGAGGAAGAGCAGGAATAAGAGAAACATTAGCAATACGCAGGAGACGAATAATAATGACACCAATACTAGTTAAAACGAATCCTTTAAAGCATACGGCTACGACTATTAAGAGTCGTACTACTATTCGTAAGGCTACAACTGGTAATTTTACCTGTAATACGACTACGAATAAGATACGTAATACTTACACTACGAGGAATACTAACTATGAAAATAACACTGGTAATAAGAATACGGATATTCATACTAAGAATGATATGATCAGGATGAGGGTCCCAAGGAATATGAGCAGGAACAGATGCTGGAGGCGGACGAGGAACCGCCAGAGGCGAGAATAGCCCGAAAGCCAGTGGGCGGCTCAGGGTGCGCCCCCTCCCTCGGCTACGCCGTGGGCTGCTCTGTAGCCGCAGCACATGCGGCGTGTAAATGAGCTTGCAGGTGTTGGATGCTTACAGTACGGTCGGGAACGTTGGCTTGGCGTGTCGCTCCGCCGGTTCTGGCCCACCGCGCTTCGGTGCGACACGCTGCTCACCTTGCGGTCCCCATGCGTCAATAAAATCCCGAGCTCTTCCGAGCTTTCCCAAGCCGCGGAGCGGAGCTACGCGCTAATTATCCACTCGCAGGAGGCATAGCGTGCCGCCAGTATGCCGCCGTGGCGACGCGCGAAGCAAACGTTACCGACTGTAGGTGCGCTCGCGCCACTTCTGACGTCCTACAGTGGAGGCGCGCATCAAGACACCAGATGCTATTCGTCGGGGTATCCTGGGCTTCTTCGCTCCACACGCTGCGCGGTGACTTCCCGCGGCCGCGGAAGAAGCTGCTGCGTCCAGGGTGCCCTGGGCTTCCCCTGAGTCGCACCTCTCGCGGGGTTCTTCAGGGTTGGGTTTTTTGCGAGGGTTTCTCGCGGCCGCGACCGCATGGTATCTTTTCCGCCCGTCCCTCTCCATTGCGCTGACTGTTTCTCCGCCCGCGGACGCGTGTCGCAGCCGACCTGGAGGGGAAAAGCACACACAGACACAATTCATCGACGATTCCCCAGAACATATGGGAAAATATTGGAAGTGGGGGGGGAAGACGAAAACCCTGAAGATATGGGAACATATGGGAAATCCTGTTGTTTGTGTGTATTTATTTGTGTGTCCCAGGGCCCCTTCATGTATCTTTTCCTCCCGTCTCCCCCTTGCGCTGACTGTTTCTCTTCCCGCGGACGCGTGTCGCAGCCGACCTGGGGCACAGCCGAGAGACTCCGCCCTGCCATATGCGCAGTCGGAGCAGGGGAGCTGCGCACCTAGGATGGGGGAGCAGGGGTCGGCGGGTGAGCAGGAGGATGGGCAGGAGGAAAAGGAGCAGCAGCAGGAACCAGTGGAAGGAGCGGGAAGAGGAGGAGGACCATGGGGAAGGCGGTGGCGGGGAAACCATGGGGGCGACATCGATGGAACATGACTCGGATCCGGAAAAAGCGGCCCGCGCTGAGGCGAGAGCTCCATTCTAAACGACGGGAGCACAGCTCCGATCCGAAAATGAGGCCCACGCTGCAGCGGTAGCATCGATTAGAAACACAGAAAGCACTCGCATTGCAAACGACCACTCGGCAACTAAACTTGTGACACCCTTTTTGTGGCAGTCCTTTAGAATGGAAAACAGCAATTACGCGGAGAGGGCCGATCATCTTCTGGACGTAGTCAGGGGAGAGAGGAGAGGAATCTTTTGTACGGGGCTAGGGCCAATAAATACTCGTTCCAGAGCGTTGCTTAACGCTCTCAGAGCGTTCCGTGGCGATCTGAGAAGGCCGCGGCGCCCGAGACATCCTCCACATCCGCTGGATCTCACACATTTTCTCGATTTATCCTTCCTCGATGTTATCCTCGTCCTGGCTTCGTCGTATTATTCGTGCTGCGCAATTGAGGAGGGGGGAGGAGCGAGGAGGGGGAGCGAGGGCCCCCCTGGACCTGCCGGGCCAGAGAACCGCCCCCTGCCGGGGACCAGCTCGTACAGACCCTGTCGCAAAAACAGACGCGGAGTGTTATGTCGGGCCTGTCTCTCTACAGGAGGAATATCCAAAAATAGTTTAAAAATAGTTCGGGGACGATTTTGAGGCATTTGTCGGTGATTTAAGGTATTTTTTGAATCTCTCAATTTTTTCGTCCAAAATCCGCCTGTAGTGGGACATGCCCGACCTAGCGGAGTGGCGCGCTCCACTGTCAGGACGTCTTCGGGGAAAGAGGAGAGCAGTATTCGCATTGTGGACGCGCCAGTGTCTCTCCGAATTTGATCTGCTGTAGGTGCCCTCCCACTCCAAGGGTCGACTGGTTTTCCTCGTTCCTCCGTCTTCAGGGGGTCGGGCGGAGACCCCGTGTGCTTCCAGTGCCTGCCTGCTCCATGCTTCCACCCACTTCTTCCGACCGATTGGGCAACCGTGCAGGGGGGAGGGGGAGGCCCAGGAGCGAGGGCGACACCCGGGCCCGCCGGGCCGGGGACCGCCCAAGCATACTGACACCGTGCGAGCGTCGGCCCCGCAAGAGCGACGCGCACGCCACGACGTCTCATAGCAGAAGCTCCGTGGCGGGCGCTTTCTGGGCCATACCGCTCGGGAGTCGACGTGCCGCTCACGATCTGTGTGCCACATCTTCGTGTCGAACGTGCGCCCCGAACATCAGCACACGCTACTACAGTGGAAGCCCATGCCAAGAAACACCCTGCTTGCCTCCAGGGTGCGCTGTGTCTCTTGGGCTTCGATGGTTCAAAGATGGAAAGTGTAACGTCCCCATACAAAACATCAATGGACATCCTGGGGTCTCAGGGTTGGGGTATCTTGTAGAGGGTTTCGTGTGGTCGAGCTCCTTCTGGAGCATGTCCTCCTGCGTCTCACGAGAAAGCCCCGTCGGACATCTGGGAGCCCAGAGCGTCGGCGTGGCGCCCGGCGCCAGGCGATGCGCGGCATGGCCGAGCGCCGGGTGGCGGACTCGGGCAACGCCGTGGTGCGCGCCCCGAGCGCCGGCCGCGGCTGCAGCCGCCTTTTGGGGGGGGGGGGAGGGGCGAGTTGGCTTGACTCTTCGCGGGCAGCAGGAGGCGTTCTGCTGTTCTCTCTCCGTCTCGCTCTGCTGGCCGGCGATGATGGCGTCTGGGGGACGGGGGAGGGGGGAGGGGGGATGACGGTGGTGGTGGTGGTGGTGGTGGTGGTGGTGGTGGTGGTGGTGGTGTTGAGGATGCTGCTGATGATGATGATGCTGATGATGATGCTGATGGTGATAATGATGATGGTGATGCTGCTGCTGTTGCTGATGATGATGCTGCTGATGCTGATGCTGAAGCTGATGATGCTGATGCTGATGCTGATGCTGATGATGCTGCTGCTGATGATGCTGCTGCTGATGATGATGATGCTGTTGATGATGGTGCTGCTGATTATGACGATGATGATGATGCTGATGATGGTAATGTTGTTGATGATGATGCTGATGCTGATGCTGATGCTGATGCTGATGCTGATGATGATGGTGATGGTGGTGGTGGTGGTGGGTGGTTAGGAGGAGGAGGAGGAGGAGGAGGAGGAGGAGGAGGAGGAGGAGGAGGAGGAGGAGGAGGAGGAGGAGGAGGAGGAGGGGGGGAAAAGGAGGGGAAAAGGAGGAGGACCAGGATCCCAAGGAGCAGGAGCATGAAGAAGAACTGGAGGCGGACGAGGAACCGCCAGAGGCGAGAATAGCCCGAAAGCCAGTGGGCGGCTCAGGGTGCGGCCCCTCCCTCGGCTACGCCGTGGGCTGCTCTGTAGCCGCAGCACATGCGGCGTGCAAATGAGCTTGTAGGTGTTGGATGATTACGGTCGGAGACGTTGGCTTGGCGTGTCGCTCCGCCGGTTCTGGCCCACCGCGCTTCGGCGCGACACGCTGCTCACTTCGCGGTCCCCAGGCGTCAAAGTCTCGAGCTCTCCCGAGGCTCCCGCTCCGCGGAGCGGAGCGACACGCTAGCTCCTCGCAAGGCATGGCGTGCCGCAAGTTCCCGACCGTATTGGACTGCGATGGTGCGGAGGAGCCTCCCGCTCCTCCGCCTGCCCCCCCCCGATGCCTCCTCCCCCTCCACATCTTCCTCGGCCCTCTTAGAGGGCGCAGACGGCTTCTCAAAAGCCCCCCCCCCGCCCTCTCGCCTCTGTCTCCCCTCCATCAGCGCTCCGCCAACCTGCTCCTCGCGCGGCCCGAGCCCTTCTGGCGGCTCCTCTGGGGCCGGGGCGCCCGCCTGCTCACCGAACCGCTGCCCTGGGGCTGGAGCCAGTGGTGCGCGCCCAGACGGCTGGCAAGGCCTCGACGGCGCCGCCGTCGGGCCTGGGCGGGCTTTCCTTCTCACGAGGGCCACCGCGACCGCTGAGAGACCGGGCGTTCTCCTCCCTCTTCCTATTCTGCATCTCCTCCTCCTCCTCCTCCCCCTCCCCCTCCCCCTCCTCCTCTTCCTCCTCCTCCTCCTCCTCCTCCTCCTCCTCCTCCTCCTCCTCCTCCTCCTCCTCCTCCTCGGCCAGTCGCGGGGATGGCGCCCCCACTGGCTCTCTGGGGGCCGCCCAGAGGGGGACCGTCCACGGTCCAGTGCGCCCCGGGCCAGCCTCGTCTTGAGGCAGGCCTTGGGTTGCGGCGCGGGCCGAAGGCTGCCCGCGCCCGCTGTCTTGGGCAACCAGCGCGCCGGGGGCATTGGGTGGGCGGGGGGCGCAGGAGGAGGGGAGCAGCAGGGGCGGCCGGGAGGGGAATGGGAAGGGGAAGGGGCTGGGGGGCGGGGGCCGTCGCGGTGGGCGGGCGGGCAGTCGTGGTGGCCGCGGAAGCCGTGGTCGTGGTGGTCGAGCTGGTAGTGGTCGAGCTGCTGGTCGTCGTGGTGGTCGTGGTGGCCGTGGTGGTCGTGGTGGTCGTGGTGTTAGTGCTGGCGGCCGGCCTGGTGGTGGCCGTGGTGCTCGCGGTGATCGTGGTGGTCGTTGGTGGCCGTGGTGGTCGTGGTGGTCGTGGCCGTGGCGGTCCAGGCGGTCCAGCTGGTGGTGGTCGTGGTGGTCGTGGTGGCCGTGGTGGCCGTGGTGGTCGTAGTGCTGGTGGGTCATTTAGCACGCGCTGAGAATCATCTCGGCGTTGCCCACAACCAACTTGCGCTGGATGCGGCGCCACGCGGTGGCGATGACAGCTGACGGCTCTGCTTCGGGCAAATCTTTCCCGTACGAGCGGACAAATGAGACGAGCTCATCCGCCGGCCGCCCTCCCGTCTCCAGGACAGCTGGGACCAGCTCGCCGCCCGAGGGGGGATAGCGGTTCCGTTTGACGCCCACCACCTGCGACGCGGCCAGCCCGTCATTGTTGGATCTTGCCCACCTGCGCTCGAGGTTGTCAGAGTGTGCGCAGGTGGCAGACCGATCAACATAGATACGCTGTCTGGTGGTCACGTCGCGGGTAACCTCCTCCTCCTCCTCCTCCTCCTCCTCCTCCTCCTCCTCTCCTCCTCCTCCTCCTCCTCTCCTCCTCCTCCTCCTCCTCCTCCTCCTCCTCCTCCCCCCCCCCCCCTCCTCCTCTTCCTCCTCCTCCTCCTCCTCCTCCTCCTCCTCCTCCTCCTCCTCGTCTTCCCCATGGCCTCGGTTCGTGCCTCGTGGCCCAGGGTGGAGGGGATGCCCTTCTCCAGGGTGGCGGCCCGAGGGCGCGAAGGTGGTGGATCGCGCTCAGTGCCCCGTGGGGCGCGGCGTTCGGCGGCCTGGGCAGGCGCCGCGCGGCCCGCACAGAGCGCTGGGAGTCGCCTGGTCCCTGGTGGTAAGTCGGGCCTGTCCCTCTACAAGGGGGAATATCCCAAAACAGTCCAACAATAGTCTGGGGTCGTCTTTGCGTTTTTTTAATTGTTTTGTGCTGTTTGTTTTTTGTTTTTTGTTTTTTGTCTTATATATATATAAGTATCGTCCAAAATCCCCCTGTAGGGGGACACGCCCGACTTATTATAGCGTCGACCCCCCGAGGTCTCGACCCGTTCCACGGGACCGGTTTCTCACCTCGAGTCGTTGTGTGACGCTCCCGAGGCCCGGTAAGGGCACCCAGAGCCCGAAGATAGCGAAACGCCTCCCGCCGAGATTTTTTCATGACCCGAGGGGGTCTGGGTCCTGCCCGACTTGATCCCCGGTGCCGTCGGCCGCGGACCACCAGGGCCAGCCTGCGGAGCCCGCCGCAGCCATGGCGGCGCCGCTCGCTGGGTGCCTGGCCCTCCTGCTCTGCGGAGCGCCCCCCCCCCGGGAGGGAGGCAGCGGGCTCTGCCACCCTCGCTTGCGCCGCCCGCTGCCGGTCGCCGTCGTCGCCGTCGCCGGCGTCGTCGCCGCCGCCGTCGCTGTCGCTAGCGCCGTCGTCGCCGCTGCCGTCGCCATCATCATCGCCGCCGTCTTCGCCGCCTTCTCGTCGCCGTTGCCGTCGCCATCATCATCGCCGCCGTCTTCGCCGCCTTCGCCTCCGTCATCATCGATATCGCCGTTGCCGCCGTCGTCGTTGCCGTCGCCATCAACATCGCTGCTGTCGTCGCCGCCTCTGCCGTCGTCGCCATCGATGTCGCCGCCGTCGCCGTCGCCGCTGCCGTCGTCGTCGCAGCCGTCGTCGCCCCCATCCTCCGGGAGGCCAGGCGGGGGGCCGTCGCTCACCCGCGGCGCCCGTGGCGTGTGCGGCCCCAGTCGGGCCCGCG